TGGCACACTGGTAGAGCTCTCGCCTTTTAAGACAGGAGAATCCGCTTGTTCGATCGCCGTCAGTAGCCGTTTGATGAGGAGATGTGGTTGCCTCCGAAATAAATGCTTTTACCATTTTTATTTGTGTATAATAAAAACATTCACTTGGTATAAACAAATAGGTTTTCAACTCACTACAAACTAAAATCAAAAAATAAAAATTAATATTATTATTTGTTGATAATATTGAATATTGAATCAATTTTGAGCAAATATATAAATTTATTCAATTTAGCTGACAGTTTTGTCTTCGGAACCGGCAAATTGTCTTCCCTTCCCTTCCGCTAGCAATATGTGTGGCCGCAGATTACTCAGCTGTTTTTGACAATTTAATATGTTGTTGTTGCTACAGCATAGAACTTCCGTCGTAAGCAAATGTAATGTGCTGATTTCGCACCAAAGCAAATAAATTTAACTTTAATAACACAATTGTTGACACACATAGTAAACAATGAATTTTGTAGAAAAACCAAACTCGAAGCAAAAAGTTTCTTCTGCTTAATTTTTGTGTTATTAAATATTTAGGTGAATTTTCCACTGACGTGATTGAGTTGATTCATTAGCCTTAAAGGAATTTCACAAATATTCGTACATACATATGTATGTGTGTACATCGATTATTTTTTTATTAAATTATAAATTTGTTAAACCACAAAGACAACTGGAAATTAATTATAAACAGTAGACTTATTTTCCTTAATAATTATTGCTTCGTTAAGAACTACATCACCAATTTCCATTTCATTACCAATTGCAAATTAGACTTTAAACTTTGTTAATTTATTTATCAACTCATATGTAAACTGCGATTTCTGCATTGACTCACCTGGCACAAATAACGCTTTTATATTATTTTTTTTTGTGTTGGCGCGCGGTTGGTGGGGAGACTAATGAACGAAAACAGCACAAATGCCAATAGGGGCGACTCTCACTGTTGACCAGCGCAGCACGGGCGACGAGTAAATAAGAAATTTATAGCGAATTTGTAAAAGATTTTCTATTTGCAGAAAAACACATCGACACTTTATTGTTTATATTTCTTGATGCCACTATTCTAAATTGTATATAACTATTGATTTTGTAGTTTTTAGCAATGCACCGCGGCAAAATAAATTGTGGTAATAACCAAAACACAACAGAGAAAAACTGAAGAAATTTGACATTTCACTGACAGACTTGTTGATTAAATAAATGCAAAACGCAGAGTTGCCAGTAGTAATGAAGGTAAAGACCCAAAATATTGGAAAAAATGTACTAAGATTGCTTGATAACTATGAAATGAATTATTATTTTTGATTTTCGGGCATATTTATTACATACTTTGAAACGAGTATATATCCTTTCAGTTTTTTCGTAAGGTGCATAGCCCTTATAAATAAAATTTCAAAGAAAATAAAAATAAAAGTTATTTTGACGTTCGCAAAGTGCTCATGCCTTTGAGAAAATGTATTTTCATATGATATAAAATCTGCTGGAAATGAATATGTGAAAAAAAGTTTTTTTTTGTAAATATTTCTTTTATTGTTGCTCTTTTTTATTTTCTTTCTTAAATAATTTTTTTGTAATATTTTTTTATATAATTTTTTTTTTATTTAAAATGTCCTGCTCCTAATTAATATACTATCTACAGACGATTATATTATGAAAAAAAAAAATCTTTTTATATAACTAATAATAAAGTCGATAAAAAAAAAATTAAAGCATGAGCTCTTAAATTTTTATTTTTTATATTTACTTAAATGTTATTAGAATAGACTTTTATTAATTTAAAAGCATCAAGTTAATATATTTTAAGCGCATATTATTAGTTTTAAAATTTTTAAAGCTTAGTAAAAATAAAACTATTTTAAAAGCAACTGTTATGTGTGTTTGTAGTTGTAATAAAAATTTAATAACAAATAAATGATCGTTATAATGAAATTATATTGAAACACTGTTGAATTGAAAATCCATCGGAAATCATAACTCTTGTGTGTCTGGCATCTCTAAGTAAAAACAATTCGCAGAGAACTTATAACTTATAAGTTCTCTGCAATTCGGGAGAATTTGTCAAATGTGCGACAGTTGCGACATCTGTTTGTAAAATGTGGGCATTTTGGCCACAGGGTAACTCAGAAATTAGCATCTTTCGTGTGTGTTGACTCGGATAAAACTTTGTAACGTAATGCAAACGTGAGGAGAGAAGAATTGTCATAAGTTCTACAGGTTCTTTGCTAAAGCAAGTTTTCACCACTTTGAGGTGAAATGGTTAAATTGATATCAGCAAATGTCGTAGAAATTGGTCGAAAATATTCACCTAATTTTTTTGGTAGCTCGTCTTAAAATATTGCATCCTGAAGTAATTTTCCGAATTTCTGTTGAAGTAGCCGAGTAGTGAAGCTACCATGGGGATGACTCATTTAATCGAGTCTTGACCCTGGGTATGTCAAACCTTCGGAGTGTATTTCGGACAATAAATGAAAGTCATCTCATAAATATTTATATTATATATCAGCCGTACCAAGGCACGATCTAATAGTTTAGGCGCAGCCAAAACATATCGAGACGCACATCACAAAAATCATATAAAGAAATCCTCTGTTAGACTTCTGAAGGTTTTATAAAGCTAATCAGTTTATCACTCAAAGAGTCTACTGCTCATGACTGCCGGTAGAAGGCCAGATTCATAGGACAGCAATGGGTTGAACAGCCAAGATGGCCATTTTGAGAAGAGATTATCGAGTTGCGCTTCTTCAGTGAACGGATTGAATAAGAAAATTACTCGTACTGTATAACAAGCAGTAGGTTACAAGGGAGTTTTTGGTACTCCGGCTGTGATACAAAATGGTAAAGAGTGTTCTTTTTAACAAATGGTTCTCAAGATAAAATAAATATACAAAAATTTTGCTTGCTTACAAGATTTAGATAATGATTTCATCTTGTATCTTACAAATGATTTCGGTCGAGTGACCCCCGCGACTGGCTCGAATTAATATCAGTCGAATTTAGATCACATTTTGCAGTCTGGGACACTTTTTGTCAGCAATAACACGCCGAATATTATGTTCCAAGACATCAAGCGTCACACCTGCGTAGACAAGTAACTGCCAACATCAAAAGTTTCTTTCAATAAATCGATCTTTTCGTTGGTAGTATGGCATGTAGCACCATATTGTTGGAATCGAAGGTCGCTCACATCAACATCCTTCAATGCAGTCATGGAAAAGTAAAAATCATGGCTTTTTAGCTTTCTCCATTGACCGTAACATTATGACAGACGTCATAACTGCTCGTAGTGCACCCTTAACAATGACATTTTGAGGATGTAACTGCGTCTCAAAATTGGCTTGTGGACTTCAAATGCGACAATTTTGTTTATTAACGTAGTAATTCAACCGAAAGTGAGCTTTATCGCTGGACAAAATTTTCTTGGGACCATCGGGATCGGTGCTCATTTCCATTTGGACACTTTCCACGAACGTGCAACGCGTTTCATGGTTTTTGGTTTTCGATTCTTGCATGAATTGGGTTTTTTAAGCCCCTCAAAGCTAGATCTCTCCGCAAAATCTGCTCTCTTATGGACAATTATGTCCGCAAAATCTGCTCTCTGATGGACAATTATGTCGACTGAATGTTGGATACAGATCGCGTACCTTTAGTTTGATAATAAATTGGAACGATTTATGCGTTTAAAAAACTCATTATTTACATACATATGTATGTATGTACATACGCGTATATTCTCTGTACAGTGACCTATTTTCGTGGATTTTCCATAACAGTTTCACTTTAATTTTTTTTGTTGTAAATATCTACATACCTAGTGTATGTAACAGTTTTTCTTTTTTAATATGTATGTACATATTTATGTATATGTTTTTATTAAAATTAAAATTACAAATGTACATATCAATATGCCACTAAGTATCTGCAGTAAGCCTTTTAATAATAATTTGTAGGTAATCGACCGCGTCACTGAAAGTGATTTTTTAATTAGAAATATTTGACCAAAACAAAGTTACGACTTTTCCCAAAATTTCCAAAATTTAACATTCGTTAGATGAAAAGGGTTTTTTTCAAGTTCATTTAACTGTAATTATATTTATGGTATCGAAATGAGATATGTACATAAATATGTATGCATTTTTATATACACTTTCATTTGTTTTTGGGCCGATTTTAGACATGACATGACTTGGCATACGACGACTTTATGGCATATCATCAAATGAGTCAAATTAACCTTCGCGCATGGACGCCAAGCATCGGCTGATTGAAGTCAATACCTACCTATACATACATATGTATTATACATATTTACATGCGTATATGCATTAGTTAGTAAATAAATATTCATATTTGTCATTTATGACCAATATCGCAAACTGTTGACAGCAGAAACGAAGCAGCACACAGCAGACCTGTCAAGAGCCGAAGCTGCACAGAATGCACAGTGGAGCAAAGCAGAATTTTCCATGGCTGAGGGTGGCTCTTGCGAAAAAAAAGTTGGTCATTGGTCATGCGTGGTTGGCAACGTTAAATATGCAGACAGAAATTGTAAAAAAAAGAAATAGTGACAACAATAATAACTACAACAACAATGAGCAATTATTGTGCGTCGCAAAGTCTAAATGAAAATTACTCTTCACAAACATTTCACTAAATATGCATTGTTGTTATTGTTGCTTTGCTTTAGACCCTTTTTTTTGGGTTTTAAATATTTTTAACGATTTTTGTATAAATGAGCAACAATCAACGATAGTTGAGTTTATTCTTCAGCAACTTTGGTTGAGTGAGTGTTTATAATTTTGGATGTTTTTAAGGAGAGACAAAAAAATATTATAAAAAATATTAAAAAAAAAAATACAAAAATTTAAAACAAATAAAATATTTATTTACAAACTAAAAAATTAAAAAATTAGAAGTTTAAAAACTAAAAATATAGATTTTAAACAATTTAAATAACTCCAAAAGAGAAAAAATATTTCGTGTAACCAACAAAAAATTCAATTTCATAGAAATTTCGATTAACCTAACCTATAAAAGCTAGTCAGAGAGTTCCTGGCTCAAAATATATCGCTAATCATAATCAATGTGTGAAAAGTGAAACTTTAATAGAGATTTAAATTCAAAATTCGAAAAAATTATTATAAATTTATGAAAGTGAGAATCATGCTGCAATGGAAATTTTGCGTATTTTTCTTGCTTTTAGCAGTGTTTGGCTTTGGTGTGAGTTGTTATTTAAAAAACTAAAATTTTTTTATGTACTTAATTGCTGTTTTTATTTTTGTTTTTATTTTTTTGGAAGAATATAATTATTAATTTGACTTTTCACAGCGCTCAAAAGCAGTGGAAATAGATTGTCAACGGCCACCACGCTTAGTGGTAAGTTCAAAGGAGGTCCTCTTAATATGAAAAAAAAAAAAAAATAAAGAATAAATAAAAAAATTTTAGCATAAGAAAAACGTACGGAAGACTTAGAATATGAATATGTTTCTCCTACGGGTTCGCCACGTAACTTTTTTTTTTAAATGCAATAAAACAAATGCCCATTCGGCAAAGGCAAACCGCATCGGATGGTCTTGTGGCTACAATTCTTGAACCAATTGAACTTTGTACGGTGTCATACCAAGGTCTTTTCTCAAAATTCTCCTAAGGGACGTCTCGGAAATGTCCAATTGTTGAGAGCGACGCTTCACTGATGTTCCGGGCGCCTCACGCACACTCTCGGTCACAGCGGCGATTTTTTTTGGTTTCTCACGCGTTGGTTTATCAATAATTGTGCCGGTTTCTCTCAATTTTTTCAAAAGAAAGCGCACATACGGAGCGGACGTTGCTTTGTTACGGCTCATTTTCGTGCGTAATTTTCGCACACATTTTCAAAGTAAAACTGGACGCGTTAAAATAGCGTTCCTCAATCGTATACACAACTATTTTCGTTCAGCGGAAGGATAAAACTAACTTTCTGTCAAATCAGATGTAACATAAGTGTTACCACACTCAAAATAACCACTAGTTCAAAAAAAAAAAAAAATGTTAGATAGCGGACCCTGTACAAGCGCATTTGATAGGGCGGTGATGATTTAACAAAACAGATATTTTCATTAAAAAGGTATGAAAAGTTGTGGAGACATCTTCAATAGACAGAGTGGCTTGACAAATACAGGGAAATATATGTAATTTCATTAAACATATGATTCACTCTCTTCTCTATTCGGGAATTTTTTCTACGATTCAGCATTCTGAGTTGTGCGATGCTCAAACACGCTCACTGTCACTCCCTCCCGGTTGGCTATTTGAAAACTGGTAGAGTATTTCTCATGTGAGAGATTATAGTAATCAGAAATACATGGAAAAAGTTCAGTCGAATACAGCAGTGAGCTCACAAGAAGTAGTTTTTCTCAGTACGACTTTACTGAGGGAACCATTTGATAGCTCTAGCGAGCTTTCTAACTTGTAAAAGAGTGTGTTGAGTTCGTTGAGAGACAAAGAGTAATATATTCTCTCTGCTTATCCCGATACTGATGAGTAAATGTACCACCAAACAAAGGGTTGCTTAAAGCAGGAAGGACAGTGCTTGGGAGTTGAATATTGGAGTGGGCAACGAATGTTAATCCTATGACTGGGCTGTCTTTATCGAAAATTCTTATCTATATTCTATATACTCTCAGCTCATGGTATGTCCTTGGTTAAGTTATAAAAGCGTAAAATTCCTATCGCCTTCCGAAGCAAGATCAGTCGAAAGTTAATTAGAGATTTGGTATACAAGCTCATCCTAAAACCCGTTTGGGGTACAGTTTATGACCTTGGTGAAGGAAAAATATCAAATCTACAGACGATTTTCATTCTAAAACCCGTTTGGGGTACAGTTTATGACCTTGGTGAAGGAAAAATATCAAATCTACAGACGATTTTCACGAAAAATATCTTCCTCTTACCTTTTAGCGCATGGCGCGACTTCCAATTGAAGCCTGGTTCTCCCTGAAACGACGGACAGAGCTTAGATCTTACTTTTCGTCTGCTTTCAGCGGTTGATACTGTTGAATACTTTAAGACTTGAGCTTTTTGCACCCATTCGGACAATATGATCTAGGCAGTGCAGCTAATGGGTCTTGATTCACAGAAGTGTGTTAATGGCTTCGCTTCCCTTTACCTTAAAAACTCCTAATGCCGACTCTTCGGTTGTCGAAATCTCCACATATCATGAGACTAGAGTTTTTTCTTTTTTTTTTTGTTAAGAGAGGACTTAACTTTTTAAGTATTTCCGAAGAAAGCCTCGTGAGGGCTAAAATTTAAAACATAATTACATATACGAAATAGCTATCCCTTTGCTTCGAAAGCCTTTCCTAGATAATAATAGGATTGAATTAGATCAGACTTAAATAGGAAGGACATATTGGATGAAGCTACTGGACTTAACCTATTTTGTATGACTTTGCTTGTTAAATTTTAATTTTTTTCGCCATAAATATGTACTCTATTTTTCAATCTATTATACTCTCTCCCGCTCTCCCTCATCCACTCAGGATCCGGCACAATGCTGTAAAGACGGCGGACGTGATCAAATCGTTGAGGCCTGTGCTCAGCGGATGGGTCTTGCTAGTCAAAGAGGCAATGGACCACCGACAGTGGAAGCTGCTACGGTAAGTTCAGAAAGAAAGAAATTTTGTTACATAAAATACTCCGCACTCTCTCCCTCTCTCTCTCTCTCAACAGTGCTTTGCCGAATGTATACTGAAACAATTGCAGTACATGCAAGAGCCCGAGAAGATCAACTATGAAGCCATGCGTAAGCATCTCCAAATGAAATTCAGCAATGACACCATCTATGTGAACACCATGCTGCAGGCATATCAGAAATGCGAACCATCTGTGCAGCAGAAAATGCAAATACTCAAACAAACGCCACTTGGCGGCGGTGCGGCTGCGCTGCGACGCGGTTGTAGTCCCTTCTCCGGCATGCTGCTCGGCTGTACGTATATGGAGTATTTCAAGAACTGTCCAGCGCATCGTTGGAACGAGAACGAGCAGTGTGCTTTGGCGAAACAATTCGTGACAAAGTGCTCTTTCAATGCTTAGGGAATTTTTTAACTCCAAAAAATGTGTTTAAATTTAAATTAAATAAAACAATATTTTACCAAATACATATAAAAGAAAAAGATTATTATTAACAAAAAATTCAAAAAGATCATGCAAAAAATATTCAAACATTCAATTTGCTGGCGATATTCAAATGGAAGTCCTCTGGCAGTGCGAAAGGATATATGAAATCATCACGATGCTTGCGCAGAAAGCGCAACAAAGTTTTCTCAACCTCATCCGTACAGCCCGAATCGGCCATCTGTTGTTTGATCAGTTGCTTGCGACCGCTGCGATCGAGGCCTATGTCCTGCAATAGTAGAAGAAATATTTTTTTATATTAAATTAGCTCCTCTTGTTCATAAAATCCCTACCATATTTAAAATTTCTTTAGCCACTTCTAAACAAGTCAAACGAATTCTGCTGCGTAAATGATCAAAGTTGCGATGCATGATCAGCTCGGTCCAAGGTTCTTCGAAGAAATCCACAAAACTGGTGATCTCATGCAGATACCAACGTGAGTGCAAATCATTTAGTAAAGACTCGTGGTGACCAACAAAATATTGCAGATGATCAAAACTGCGTTTCTAGACCAGGCATTAAGAAAAAAATTTCAAAAAGAAATAAAATAAACCTTAAAAATATTTAAAAATAATCTTTCAGCTTTAAAAGCTATTATTGATACCTTTTTGGTGACGCATGTGATCTCCACTACAATGCCATGTTCATTGATGCGTACACGTGAGAAATTACCATCATAGGTGACGAGTGTGAGTAGATAGGTATTATCCAAATGATTTGCTATATAGCGTTTGGGCAAGATCGCTTTAGCCATGTGATGACCTAATGGTAATTGTGCTTGATAGTAAACTGGTCTCAAGTATTTCTCTGAATATTCAGGCTCTAGATCCTCGTAGAGATCGAGGCTGCGAAGTAACTGAAAGTGCGAAATAAAATGAATTTTGAAAAATTGCAGCAACATCATGTGATTTAATGCCACATCATATTACATTATATCATATGACACTTTGGTATACAACAGATATATTTTTTTGTTTGTTTATTGTTACAATATACAAATTTATTGAGAAATTATTCCCTTTTTGGTAACATCATATGACAAATTTTCAAATCACATCACATCATATACATAATAATCATATGACCTCCTTACTATTTGATTTTCACCAACCTACACATATCAAATGAATATAATATTTATAAATGAGATTAGAACAGAGAATTGAGTTTAAAAGAAGAAAAAATACTGAATGAATAATTCAACGTTAATTATGACATCATATGATCAGATCACATGATAACATATTATGTCATTTTACATGAAATTATGTGACGTTACAATAATCAATCAAGAGCACTCAAAATGAATGAAACATAAATCTCTTTCGGATTCATCAGGTAAAATGTAATTTAACAAACATGATCAGAATAATTGAGAACCGCATGACTTTATATCACAAGGCATCACATGACATTATATTAAATGATATCATATTATGTTAAATTTTCCATATTTGAAATGGAATACCTTAAAAACTAATGCAATAGAGGGAAAGACAAGCAATAAAACTTTTAGTCATAGCATCAGAACACACAACAAGACATCATGCGATGACTTCCCTTGATATTGTTCTACATTAAATTTACTTACAATATATCACAAAAGTGTTGTTGAAGGACTCTAATTTTTTTCTAAAATATCACAACACATGTTCTATATGTGAATTTGGTTCATAATTTGAAAAAAATTCAATATATTTCATAGGACCTCACATGATCACATGCCACCATATTTCACCGGAACACATCATGTGATGAAACGAGACTTACCCGATTTTGCTGTTTTCTTGTTTGTTTACTACTCTAACATAAAATTTACAGCTTCACATTACGTTGATTTATTATCACATGATGCATATATCATTAAATGGAAGAAAAAGTCACTAAATTCGAAGGATTCTTTTCATAATATAATATGTCACAAATAAGACATCACATCATATTGGGAAAAAAAAATATTTTTAAAACATATTCAAATATTAAATGTTTAAAACTTTTGACTAAGTAATCGAAAATATACCATAAATCACCACTTTCACTTACAGCTTTTATAAATACAAGTCAAGTGACGTCATATGCTGACATCACATGACATGACATCACACTCGATTATATGAAATTTCTTTATAAGAGTGAATAATAATAAATTTCAGATAAATTTTCATAAAACCGATTCAGAATATCACAAGATAATCTGCCATATCACATGAACCCGTAACACATGATTCCACATCACACCATCACATACATATACAAAGAATTTATCAGCAAAATAATTAATTTAACAAACCTTCATCGCAATTTCATCTTTGGCCACATGCTTGTACTGATGATTCGGTTCTGTTCTTAGACGCGTACAATTGCCAACAGCAAAAATATAAGGATCACTGGTACGAAACTCCTCATCGATTAAAACCGACAAGCCCTCCATTTCGATGCCCGTGTTTTCCATTACTGCAAAAGCAACAACAAATATATATAGCAGTCTCTCCCACAACCCCTCTCTAACTTCCTCCTACTCACAATCGATAACCTCTGTGCCGATGACATGCGTATGAAAGCTGACGAAGAGATCACAAGGCAAAGTCATTAGAGTACCATTCGAATAATGTTCGAAAGCTGCATGTGATATGATTTTCTCATTAAAGTAGTAAATCCATTTCTTCAAAATCCAGTACGACTCCACCTTCACGCCCATATCCTCCACCATGCCTTGCAATATCAACTCGATATTAACATCCATATTCGAGATATTATGCTGTAAGTATGCATCGGAGGTGCGCTTGTCGTACGGTAAGACCAAACGTATGGCTTGTGGTGGTATTTTGTGTGTCACCAGGAAATTGATGAACTCGTAAGCGCTCAAACGTGAACCGAATACAATGATATTGATGTCATTCGAGTTTTTATCATTTCGTATCGCCTCCAGTTTGTGATAGGCGGTGATCTTGTCGAAACGATTGTTAATGTGTATGTAATTGGCGGGTAGTTGCTCTCGTTGCAGGGCCGGTGGTACACCGAAACGTTGACTCATAGCGAAAACCAGTTTTCCATAGTACAGTTCACAACCGTTGGCCAGCACGATGGTTTTGTCTTCTCTGTGGAGAGTGTAGGTGGAACGAGAAGGAAATATATTAATAACAATGTTAAGACTCCAGTACACTGAACTCTAATGTAATCTAAACTGCGGCCAATTTAGGTCCAAAGCGTTATAAAAATTATGCACTGCTGAAGAGGACGTCAAGGTAAGCATCACCAATAAACGCGCTCACATTACAAGGTGTCCTGTTCAGATAATAGGCATCCTTCAGATCTCCCAGCAACTATGAGGGGTAGTTGAAGACACAAGTCGCTTAAGCGTACGATCTTCGGACATTAACAGCGTCTCTAAGAGCCCTTATTTCCTTTCCCTTTCATGTCAGTGGTCATAAACCACTTTTAATGCAAACAACCTCTTCTGGCAGGAGTTCTGAGTTCTGTTTATTAGTTTCATTAGGAAGAGGAGCTCTTGTCATATTATTAGTGGCTTTGGATCCATTTTGGAGTCAGCCCCATTAAGAGTTTGGCTGACTTCGGATGCCAGTACCCTCCGTTTCTCAGTACCCTCAGTACCCTCAGCACCCTCAGTATTTGTCGAGCTCAACTCGTATAAGATAGATGTGGAGCTTTAGATTCCGCGCTTCTAGCGTACTAAGCAGCAGCTTTTCGACAAAAACATCCAAGATCGTGACGATAATTACCTTAGCTTATCTTTTTCAAGCTCTATTCGGCGAGAGGCGGTGCTCGGCCATATGTCATACCAGGGTCACTCTGCTAAGTTCCACTCGAAATTTTCTCGAAACTCTCTAGGTTAATCATCGCTCACTACTATTTTTGAAGGAAAGACAGTAGACCGTCTAACAACGCTACGGAAAAAAAATTCTCCGATGAATTCTAAAGAGGATCGACTCAAGTTCTACGAAGTACAAAATGAAATTTACGCAATATGAAGAGACGGAGTTCTCTCGGTTTAAGGAAGATTCACAGAGATATATCTTAATCAAGGTGAGACTATAAAATCATTAAGAGTTTGACTCTCTCTCTATATGCATTGAGCTTTTTTGGTCTACAACTAAAGACTCCAAGCAGTTCTGACCGGGTCGACGCTTTTTGCGGGGAATGGTGCTTCTAAATGCTACACTTGAATATGAAAATTTACCTTTTGATCTTCTTCACCGTTGAACTAACAAATGAGGCGTACTTCCGAAAATCCATGCAACGCGTAGTGTCTCGTATGAAACTATTTGCATTCTCAAAATTAATATAACAGTCATTCTGATTCACACAAATGCTACATTCGAAATCACTGTCATAGGCGCTCTCCACAAGACCTCTTTTAGCAACGACGATGACACGTAGCCGCGGCACGCAGCAGTGACAGTTCATTGTGCTAAAGGTAAGAGAGAGAGAGAGAGAAGGATAGAGAGAGGGGGTGAGAGAATGTCTCTTAATGTCTCTTTGCATCTACTTACTTCGATTTCTGAAAGCTGAAGAGCAACATACGCAGCAGTGCTCGTGTCAAACTATTGAAGCCAATTATAACGATCGGCTCGTGATTGCCATATGCCTTTGATGGTAGCAGATTGTGGTGGTAAAGTGCAATATTCTCCTCTGAATTATTCAATTGCTCACTGAGCCGTTGTGATGTTCTCGTCTTTGGTTTGTTGTATTTGCGGCGGTGTACTTGTGCGATGGCTCGCGGCTGAATGGGTTGCATTTGCTTGACCAAATCATTGGTTAAGGGTTTGATGTGAGTCTTTGGAGAGAGAGGGCAGAGGGTACATTTAAAAATTATGAATGAATAGCTTTCCAGAACGATAGGAATATAGTAAAGACTCTTAAATGCTTGCTGAAACCAAAGAACCTGGAAGAGTCGTCCAAAGTTTCAGAGTTGTTTAACTAGAAATTTTCTTTTGATATTTGTTAAAAAATCATTTGAGTTACCGCCGATACCATACCTTGAAACTTAACCCCTTGTTACACTAACTCAAATCTTAAACTCACCATAGTTGTCGCCGCATAGTAGAACTCCCAGTAGCCCGTGACGCAGGATATTTGTCTAAATATGGCATCCGATTCACAGTGATAGTTCGGATGTAGACGCAGTAATACAATCTCGCCGGGAATACTCTTGAAAGAGCCTTCACGACGTAAGAAAACAAATTTATAGTCCAGCTCTTGTAAGCGAAAGAAAGGTCTGTGGGTGAAGATAATAAATTTGATTATTTTAAGATATGAAAAACAGATTCTCTCGAAATACCTCACTATAACAAAGCCCACGATGACATTATTCTCCATCGAACGCATCGAATCACCGCAGCGAATTGTTAGAAAATGAAATTCACTCATTGGATTATCAAAGACATCTGAGATAACTTGGCTCACTAGTGCGGCTTCCGCACAGGTTTCTGGTGGTAGGAAAAATGATTGCTTAAGCCCATAAACCGTGTACGTGGAGGCGCGTTTATTGAGCATTGCGGTTGATTTCTCCAAGATTCTCTCGATAACGATCACATCTTCGGGCAGCAAGTTCATTACACCCATATGACCGAAAATTGTGCTACGATTTATGATGTATACGGTGTCATCAATACGAGTGCCGGGTCGTGGAACGAGGGTCTAAGAGAGTAAAGGAAATGCTGTAGATACTGCCTTAAAGTCATTGCACAGGAAAGAACCGGGCCTGTAAAACAGAGAGAGTCCTGCAGATACTTGTGGCAAGTAGCAGCTAGCATAGACAGTTTGTAGTTGTACTTTTAGCTCTTGAGAAGAGCATGTGTTTGGCTGAAGCTCACAGCAAGGATTTCGGCTAATATTCTAAGGAAATATTCGACGGACGTAGGCGAGTAGTTAGCCGTGCGTTCCATCATTCGGATGGGCGTTCATAAGAAGTCGATTTTATTATTTTGTCTTTTCGTCGCACGCAGAGTAGGGCGAAGTCGCTGAAAAAGCAAACAGACTAGTTCCTCACATTTAGATCTCGAACCTAAATGGAAGAGTTGGAAAATTTTTTCTCTCTTCGCCCTACTCCCTGAAGGTTTGGAGAACAGTGTAAACTTTTTCGCGCGATTAATGAATTGAGGAAAGCGAGGTTCCAAAGTTCTTTCGATGAAACGAGGTATATCAGTGTTCTATAGGCACGGTACACACATGAGATGGGAGTTTTAACAGACCTCTAGCCAATTAAAAATTCATTAAGACTCACTTACTTGAAAGGTCAGGTGTGAAATACTCACCACAAAAAATCCCAGTAACATTTCAACACTTCTCGATATCTTTATCTTATTCGGTATGGATATAAGACAATAATCACGCTCTGGATGCGCTGTGAAGGCGGTCGCAATGAAACGGGAAGCAAAGCGAGTATCAGTCGTCTCGTTAATACCCAGCAATTTAATGGCGAACACATTGGAATGTCTATCGAATGGGTATTCACCCTGTTCAACTTCGTCATACCCTTCGGGTATATTATAACGAATGCGTAAGCGTTTACGAAAACTCGTTTGATAGTGTTCGGGATTTTTGAAATCTGAGGAGAGTAAAAAAATAAACGGAATTTTTCCTACCGTCGTAACGAAGAGTCTCTAGCTTTTACATACACATATTGATTAATTCCATTTTCCGAAAGAACTCCTCACGCAAGAAAAAATATTTCACACTCGTTTCGTTTATGCCGTAATTAATATTAGCACCCTCGGGACGTCGTACGGTGGAGATTATATTATCGCCTTTCGTGGTCGGACATGTTGGACGCGAACAGGTTTGATTGCTGCATAACAAAGCATTTTCTTGCACAATTTTTTTTTATTTATAAAACTTCAATATCCTACCTCGAATCGGAATTTTTCGAAGTCGAAATTAATCGCTCCAAATCTTGTTCATATATTTCTTCGACCACCTCCGTTGTGAAGAGCTTTGAGGGTGGCTTTTTCTCAACGCCACTGAAAGAGATTTGCTTTTATTCTCAGCAAAATACAAACGAATTTCGAGTAATTTTTTATACTTACGTAACTATTAAACGCTTCTCACAATAAGGTTGATCCTTATTATATTTGATCATGTTACCAAAGCCTTCGCATTCGAAATTCTCAACTAAGGTTAGTATGCTGACATCGTCGTTGAGCCAAATAAAGCCGACCGTTTGATGTTGCAGCTAATCAAATGGAGTCTAGTTTTAGACCAGAGTTTTAACACAATTAAAATTTTTGAAAAGTGATGCCTGGTACATTTTAGCCATTCTTTTCGCTTGGACTAGGTACACACCTTCCCAAGACGCAAGAAAACCGAATCGTCGAAGGGATTAAACGTAGTAGCGCAAGATGTATAAGAGGCAGACTGCAGTCTAGTGTGTATTTTCGAAGTAAATAGATTCCTAATAGAGAACCCCCTTCTGTCTAGCCTACTCACAGAACAAATAGAACGGCAACCAACAACAACAATCTACTAATATCACTAGCTGGACTAAGGAATACCGGTTCGAGCTCAATGTGAAAGTCGATGGCGTCGAAATTCCGACGAATAACCAGCAGTTGATGTGAGACACATTCTGCAGCCTGTACTCCCTCCTTCCGCATACGGCTGCAATATGCTCAAAAATGCTCCACAAACTCCTTAAAGTGTTAACTGGTAGCACCGAAAGTCGAACATACATGGCGATTGCCCGGTTGGTCGTAAACTATACTTCTCAGATATGGACGCCAGGGACTAGCGAGACACAGATGAGTAAGCTACAAGCCTGCCAGAATGCCGACCTCAGAACCATGACAGGAAACCTCTTGAAGTTGTCGTATCATCTATGCCATTAGTTAAGGAGTATAAATCTATGCAGTGTAAGTATCGGGAGCATCCCAATAGACATTTACTTGAAGCCGAGCCACCACCTAGACTCACCAGGAAGAAAGTGCTTGACTGCAAGGAATGCATTCAGCACCACGTACAATAACCGCTGAACAGGCGGTCTTTAAAGGCCGTTTATCGAGAGTCCTTTAACATCTTCTTGAACTCTCTTTCAGTGAGTGGCATGTGTCGAGAGTCCCGAGTTTTACTGGCACTTCCAAAATGCACTAAACAAATTTTTGTCCCCTAAAACCAATTCATCTAACCCCACTTTTCCTCTAGCCCGAACCCGTCGAAACCACTCGTTTCCTCAACCTCCCATTAGATGACCTCGACGAGTAACTATAGTAAGCTGTAAGATTTTGGAACTCGAGGAAAGGATAAAACAGATCAATAAAAAACGAAACTTCCGCATGAACCAAACCATTGCTCGGGGTGGCCAGTTAACAGACGGGACTTGGAAAATATTTCAAGCGACAGCATAGGTTCAATGGGGAGGAGCGAGTGAAGACATTGACGCAAAATATATATAAAATGGTGTTGGGATATTTTTGCAAAGGCTAGAGAATTTTTTTCAGACTATGAATGATTAGCATCAAACGAATACCATCAGAGCTTCCAGCGAATCTAGCAGATCAAATTCTTCGTCCAGCTGGTGATATTTCTGGTAATTCCTCACCTGACTGCCGGATAGCTTCTTACAGCTAGGCGATTAGTGGAAGCACATGACTAAGGCTTGCAGCTAAAATTCTACATATTTTCGGAGACGAGACTATACGGCAGGGTGAGGGTTGCAGTTTAACGCGCCTAACAAGAGAGAATCTCATTTAATCTTAATCCCAACCATTTAAAAATATATTCCTTATCGAAACAATTGCTTTAAAAATGGCGGAAGAACGGCTGCAGAGAGCAGAACTTTAAGCGACCATTAAGGCCTTACTTACTAGAGTGGGTAAAAGAGAAGTGTTCCCAATATATGAATGCTGTGACACATAGACATCGAAGGCAATAAGATAATTATTGAACTGGCTAAAGAGAGTGTCCTTTTGGAACAAAATGTAACTCTGGAACTATCAGTCTCATTCTCGGAAATGAAGAACGTACCAGAACCGATTTTATTCCTTTGGGCGTACCAACAATGGGAGCGAAAAAAGGTAAAAAAGAAAACGATCACCGAAACCAAGGAAAAAATGGTAAATACTATGTGCGGCACTATTTCGAAGCGGTTTACTGAGATGCGGGGTACTCACAACACAGAACAAGTAAAGTCGAGCATTCACGATGCCCATGAGAAGTCGTTGTACCAGAAAGAGTTGTTAATTCATGGAATGATATTGAAGGATCAGAAAATAAGAATTCGTGAAGTGACTGAGACAGTGGGAATTTGGGCTGATAGATGCCACTGTTACTTATACACGAACACATGTGCAACCGTGTGATCTGAACGGCCAACAAGGTTATTGGCAAAATTTGTCCGTGATGTCATTCCCATCGACTACCCTGTAAAAGATGTTATAAAATGAGTACCAGCGAATTATAATTATTTAGAGTTTCTGGACTGATTCGACTTCGATTTGAAGCATAAATGACCGCATTTGGCAAAGAAAGCTGCCGTACCCATGCCATCCCATCATAACAGCGAATAATCATAAGTTGGGATAGGAACTAATTAATAATAAAAAAATAAAATCTGCAATTAAAGCTTACTTCACAAACAATAAAAGTATTATTCTTATCATTTTCATCGATTTCTTTTTGCAATTCTTCAGCAATATAAAAGTCACCATATTCTGCACGTAAGTCCGGACGATCCACATCAATCACTTCAACGATATCGTCATTGTCCTCGGGTCTGTAAATAGATTGCGGTTAATAGAATTTTTTATTATTTATTATTAAAATATAATTGAAAAACACGCTGGCTACAATTTCGTTATGGAGAAAATTGGCAACGGTGTAAAATGCTGATCGCTAATTTAAAAGCACAACAAAAGCACAAAAAAGCGTTTGAACGAAGGCTTGGCATAGTTTTAGGCACAAACTGGAGCTGAGTCTTTTTTCTCTCCTCGAAACTTAAGTAACACTTCACTCAGGCAACTTTTACTCACAAGGCTTTCCGGTAACGCATGCGTTCAATGACACGATTCCGATGGATTATATGTAGGCGCTGAACATTTCGACAATTCTTTACGCTGAAAGCGCGTGGATACAAAACTGTGGTGAAACCATGCAGTGTGTCATAGCAAGGTGTGTCTAGGAGAACAATAAAATTAAAAAAAAAAATACAAATACAAATATAAAAAATTGGGAAATTATGAAAATTCCACCTTCCGGCGCCAAATTGGGATCCTCCGGCATTTGCAGTATCACAATGTAACGAATTTTAAATTCCCGATGAAAAATTTCGATGAGAATGCGTTGCAAAAGCATAGGGTTATGCCGCGGGTTAAAGATGAAGCGCGTAAAGAACATTGTGTCGCCCCAATTGAGTGGAAACTCCTTGCTAAGGCTGTTAAAATACCAAAGTTTTAGAATCGCAACTCATGCATAGTCCCTGCAACGCACCAAAAGTGATGTTTCAACCAGTGCATCCAACAGTCGGGCGGCAGCGCACTCAACGGCGGATAATAACTGAATTCAGCATAACCGATTAAGCTTACATCGGCACGTTGCAGACGCACCATTACTCGATGCGTGGCATATTCCATGAAGAAATCGGCAGCGTTGTAGAAACTGCGTGGCGAAGGACCGAAGAAGCGCGTCTCTTTCCAACGCAACATTGATGATATGTGACCGAAATCGCGTTCGGCATCACTAACACCGGACATAACGAATTGATTGTCATCCTGTTTGGCTTCCATTTTAAAGGGACTTTAGTAGTTATATGTTTTTATTTTTATTTTTAATATTAAATATTCTTGTGTAAAATATATAAAAAATTTTCAATGATTTTGTTTACTTTTGACTTCTCAATTTTTGAAATTGTTTTCGGCAAAATTGTCTGCTTTCGAAACGTTTCCATATAGAAATCGATAATAAAAACCAGCTTACGACGATACTTCCTAATACCACCAAACGAATGGACCTACAGTTTATGAGGAGCTTTATTTCATGCCAGGAAAACACCTAGAAGGGTAGACATTCCCTGCCGAGGGGCGATCGCTATTAGAAAATTTAACTTAATTTTTTATTTAAATTAATTTTTAATAGCTTTTGGATGTTGGTCGTACATGGAATTGAAGCCAAGCCTTTCGAATGGGATACTTTTTTGAACAGTAGTTTCTTCAATAGATCGTTCAGCAAAGGGGTGCAATTGGCTGGATTAATCATGAGATTCTAAAGTTCTTGAGTTGGTGTCAAACTCTGCACACTCCTGCTCCCTATGATCCTCTTTGACTTGAAACATTCAACCTTTCGTTGTCAGTATAGAACAGTTTGAGGTGGTGGCAGGGCTCCAAATAAGCTACCAAATGAGCTAAATGCATCTCAAAACATTGAGTGGAGTTACAGAAACTAAGCAATGAACGAATCAATGCTCTTGCTAATGCGTTTAACTCTCATAAGGTTTACCTACTCCAATACTCCAACAAAATGCTGATCGATCATTTGTCATCCGAGTCCGACAAATCTGGTCGTTTTCTGAACCTCTCGTTAGACGCAACCTGCTAGTGTTGCCTGCTTCTTAGCGGGGTTATGTAACCGATTCAAAGTGACCTTGCAGTTGAAGAGCCGCATGCTCAAACTCTTCAAGCTCTTCAAGCTCGTCTGCCACCTCAATACCCACTATGTTACTATATTCAGTCACTTATAATAAGTTCAGAGCAGCAATCTGTCGTTTCCGGTTTTAATGTTCCAGATTCCAGAGCTTAAAACGCCGCTTGGCTATCCGAAAAAATATTTAAAAGTAACTGAGAGTACTCTTAAATCTAGACTGACTCATGTCATGGATATGCTTATTGCAAGCTCCTTTGAGTAGGTTCCATCACTGATCCTCTAATCAAGTTGTCACTCATCCGTATCGAGTTTCCGTACCTAATCTAATGTGCACTAGTCTGCCGCGTTGAAGTGAGTGAATACTATGCAATAGTCCGTCGTCTTATAGTTCATTAATTTCCTCAGGGTCAACTTTCGAACTACTTTTTCCTAATTAATTTGCAGCGTAGTAAACTTGAAAGAATGGGAAGATATCTCCTGTTACCATGAGTAGACGCATAGGTTTGAATCTTGGTCAGAGCAACATATAACCACCAACCGAGTGTATTTATGACATCAGGCTTTAAAAAAACCACAGAACTCTCTATTTGTTGTTCAAAGTGTCCATCTTTCTCAGAAAAGTGCTCCATTAAAGAGTAGTTCCATTAGTAATTATTAGCAAATTAATTCTCCCTAAGTGTGACGGAAGGTAAAACAATGCAGGGCTCCTGATGCTTGACCCGCTTTCAATGAGAGAACTGCCAAATTTATACTGATCGAGAAATATCTTTACGTAACTGAGGAGAAAGTAAAATATTTCTGAGCTAGCTGAAAGGATGAGAGTTTCAAAGAATTGAATGTGAGCTGATTCAAAACTGAAGAGTAACTCTTACTCACGGAAGTGGAGTCTTAAGCTTACGTAGTCCAGAACTACCGGCGAATGTAGTCCCGGAACCGAAGCTTTACCATACTGTAGCCTTTTGTTAGTAAATTTTCTCTTTAGCCAAGTGCATCGCAGCTTATATCATTCCACTAAATTCACTGCAATCCAATCGGCATAACAAGCTAAGCAAATGTAATGCACATGAATGAATGATTAGCCATCAATCATAAGAAGCTCACATCATCCGCATACATGCTGAGCTTTTGAAAAGAATTCAAAGTATGTGGAGTTTAATAGCTCGTTGGCAATCAAATTGGGCTCCTCCTTACGTCCTATTGATTGTAAGTAATTTTGTGGTTTTTACAGACGATTGATTTGATTGACTTGCAGCACTGGCAAGTGCCACAGTGAATTCTCGCAATGATTTGGTCAAGCTTTTGAAAATACACGTATATTAGATGCAAGTGGATGCTCTGTGGGAAATAAATACATTCGTATTTCTTCTCCTTCGTCTGCTTCTTTACTGGTGTGGACGCCAACAAAGCGTTTATAGAGAAGTTAATATTCTTGTTTTTGCTGTTCAGAGCTAATTGGAAATACTTAGCTCAGTGAGGTCCTTCTTCCCTTGGTCTTTCCAAAGTGTGGATGTACTCCTTTCCATCTGCTTCCATCGGCGGATACTGTATCGAAAACTTATCCAGCCGGACTATATAAACGCGAGAGTGTACCCGCTGTCTCTTGACTCGCTGAACTACGTCACAGTTCATCGTTCCTCCCTTTGGAGTATTCACCACTCTCAATTCGACCATAAATCTTGCGCATAACCTTTCCCCGAACCCTTCGCCGACTGATCAGATGTCATGCCTCCGCACCATATAGCAAGACGGGAAAGATGAGCGACTTGTAGAGGTGGGACTTTACTTATGAATTTTCTACTCAGTCCAAAGCAGCAACCGCCAATTCTGTGTTGGATTTTCAGGCTGACATTGTTGTTGGCATTAAAACTGGTTCCAAGATAGAGGAAATTTTATGTTTGTCAAATTCTGTTCGTGAGATTTTTCTTCAAAGATAAGCCATGATCAGGTCGGCCAAGTGCACGTGCACGGGCTTTATTCGAATCGAATCGTCCTGTAACTGAGCGTGAGATTGCAGAGAAGTTAAGTATACCAAAATCCACCATTCATAATCATAAACGACGTCGTGGACTGATGAAAAACTTGATCTTTGGGTACCAATTGAAAGAAATTCATTTAACACACCGAATCAACGCTTGTGATATGCACCTAAAACGCAATAAATATGATCTGTTTTTGAAGCAAATCATAACTGGAGTTGAGAAATGGATTGTTAATATTAAAGTCTATCCAAAACCATCACGAACAAAGCATGACGAAGTGCCTCAAATCACTTCAAAGGTTGATATTCGCCAAGAGCAGATTATGCTGTCAGTTTGGTGGAATTGGAAGGGTGTGGTATATTTTGAGCTGTTTCCAAGGAACCAAACGATTAGTTCGGATGTCTACTATGAACAACTAGACAAATTAAATACATCCATCAACAAAAAGTGGCTAGAAAAGATCAATCGTAAAGGTATGTTCCACCAGGACAATACTAGACCGCACACCTCTTTGATCATTCAACAAAAACTGAGCTTGGCTGGGAACTGTTGACGCATCCAACAAAATTTAAATTACATAATTGATTAAAGTTCATTATGAAATAAAAAAAATGTTAATATGTATTTACTTTCTTATAAAAAATCGTATTTGGGGCCACCCAATAGATTGTACCTTCTCTACTCCTCTCTGTAGCTGGTATTAAAGAACTCACATGATAAGGAATGACCTTATCTGAATCCTAAATTGATTTAGAATGGCTTTTAGTAGTCTTTCCCCATCCTGATGGAGCCTTTTGGTGTTGTTTTACGTCAGTTTACATAGCCGCGCGTACCGATTTTTCTTTCTAGATTTTACGCATCGTGAATTTTTTTGGTTAATGGTGGACTTAGAAGGTCTTTATATTTAAAGTACAATGGTGTAGAAAGAAAGGAAGGAAAATAAATTATAAAATATTTAATTCGAGTCATGTCGGCGAGTTTGAGCAAATATTGAGCGATAGAAATAACTTATGTGAGAGAGAAAGTAGCCTGCGGAGAGGTTTTTTGAAATTTTCTTCTCCAACGGCTTTGTTTTTTTTCTCACAGGGTCACTTTACGCAAGAAAACTTTTCAACATATATTTATTTTATATAATTTATATTTATTCCAATTCAATATTCCTCCTTATTATGCGGCAAATGCAAAGTAAATTCTATAAAATTATGAAAATTGCACCAAAATCTTTTGCAATTCGGATTTTCATTAGCCGCGATGAGAAAAGTAAATCTGCATGGGATTGCAAAAAGTAGCGGGAGTGATAAACACACACACACACACATTTACAAAGAAATTTCCATGAGACAGGCAAATTCATTGCACTCTCAATTTTACACCGCAATTACTGTGATTGTTGTTGCTGTTTTTTGTTCGTGTTTGCCTTTGTTTACTGCTGCAACACAAAGTAGTTGCTGGTGCGCCAATGGCCTTAGGTGCCATCCGTTGCTTGGCCAGCACTTGCTGGTGTGCTATTGTTGTTGCTGTGTTTGATTGCATAGTTTCTTTGTGTTTTATTTTATATTTATTTTTATTTTTTCTTCTTCTTCTATTTTTATTTTACATACTTTTAATTTTTTTTGTGCACTGCCTTGTTACTGTCGCCTTTGTTATGTCATTTATTTTGAATAAATAAAGGAATATAATAATCGTGACAGCAATAGTGAGTTACAACAACAACACCAATAACAGGAAAACCAGCTAGCTGTACTACAAACAAATCATAAATTCCGTTCATTGCATTGTTGGTGTGTTGGCATAATGACAGACGCGACACACGTTACGCTTCGTTGGAGGAAAGTGGACGGAGAGATACAAGAGAAACGCACGGAGATGTGAGAGCGAGTGTGTAGCTTTGAAACTTACATTGCAGAGATTTTTAAAAATTAAAACAAAAATGTCTTGGCATCGCCATTTACATAAATATCTTGTGAGTAAATGAAATCTTTAGGCTGCAACTACCCAACGAGCGTACCAGCCGTCCATAGTAACCTATCTTATGAGAGCGCCATGTAAACACAAAGTTGTCACCGATTTACCATAGCGTTGCTGACGTTTGTGTCGCAGAAACCAACGAAGTTTTGATTTTTCCGTAAAACCGGCTCGGCTCATTTTTCGTTGCTATACAAGGTTGCCAGTATAGCCTTTCTTAAAGTAACATTAAATAATCGAAAATAATGCGTAGTTTTGTTCAACAGAAATGAAAAATAAATGCGTAACTAATTATTTGTTACCATATAGATAATACATATTTGATTTTCGTTAATATTCGAACACATAAATTATGAAATTTGTTGACGAAAATTATGAATTTGTTTAAAAGTGTGCAAACACACAGGCAGCTGGCAACATTTCGCCGCTCTCAGCAGGGTCGATAGCTCGTGTATGTATTTCACTACTGATGTCGTCAGTTATGGACGGCTGGTGAGTAAAATGGGTAGTTGCAGCCTTAGAAATTAGTCAGAGAACAAGCCAGAGGCAGAGAGTGTCGTAGACAATTTTCTCTCCCAAGCGCAGGATAAGCATCAACAGTTCAGCGACCAGCGATCTTCACAGACTGTTTTTTCTTTAAGAAGCTCGGATGACTACTATTTTTCTGATTTTTGTGGCCAAGTGCAAGCTTTAAAGCACATAATACCTGCTGTAGCCTTACGTTGAAATAGTAACTTTTGCCATGCTAAGCTGCCCGTCGGCAGGGAATGTCAACCTCTTCGAGTGAGTTTCTGACTTGAAGTAAAATAGCTGCTCATAAGAATCCATCAGCCTTTTGGCTGCTTGCATTTTACAGAATAAAGTTTATGACACTTCGGCTGGAAGCATTGAAATATACGCAGATGGTTCAAAAATCTGATGGTAGACTAGATATCACAACATAGGTCAGGTCGAATGAAACATACACTCGTATAGTGAGTACGGCATGTAGAAAGCTGGAAGATTCTTTCAGAAAATGCAAACGAAGCCAGGGAAATGGCAAAGAGGTGCGAACAAACAATTTTCCACTTGTTATGTGGCAGATTTGCTTTAAGCAGGTTTGAATTTGCCAAATTTTAGCCCGTTTTCAATGGCTAATCTACGTTTTGTGGCAGTTGCTAAAGTAAAAAAATGGACTTATTAAATTCATTAGGAAGTCTCAAATTTGAATCAGTATTGTTGGCTTTACATTGCGTCCATTTTGACCGTCTGCCTCCAGATAATCGCTTCCAGCTAGGGTTTCAGAAAGGACCAATCTTTAGCTTTAGAGTTGATGCTTGAGAAAATAATACGAGGTGTAGAGACGATATTGTGATATTGTCATCATCGGTCATAATGATCGCACTGTTTGTTCTGTTTTCTCCAACGGAGTATCACTCTTAGCAATGGGTGCTATTTTGAAGGGAGTAGACTGAATAGAAAAAAAACCAAACTCTACATGTTGGGGATGAAGATATTCGATCAGTCAATAATAAAAGTTTTGGATAGCAAGACTTTACGAACCAATTTTTGGCGTTGACAACGGCGAGCATTGCAGATGATAGAACGATGAGCTGTACGAGAGACAGAGATGACATTGATATAGTTCAGTGAAACAAAAAAACAGCAGTTACTTTGGCTAAGTCACGTTACGCGGCCGGAGAAAGTGAAATCGATATAGTGCCCGAAGGAAGTAGCTAACGCAGAGAAAGACCTACGCTCCGTTGGAAAGATGATATCTAAAGATCTAACCTAAAACATAGCCCTATAAAAATTACTGAGAAGATTTTTAACTCCCAGAGATAAAGTCTCGGTGTACGTTAGTTTAATAAGTAAAAATATTTGAACTGATTACTGGACAAGGATCATTTGAAGGATCAGAAGATAATTTTACTCCACCGACCCCCAATATTATACTCCAGACGCCGTCTTAGGCAGCCGCCTTACAAGATAACCTGTATTAGATATGCTCACCAGAAATGAAATTATTTCGTTGAAACCAAATCAAATCTAAAAGAGAGGGAAACTCTTTGCTGTTTACTTTTTTAGAGAGCCACTTTTGGTTTCATTTGAAACTCTCTAGGCTTCAGTTTTTTAGTCAAGTATGTTGCGGCATCGGTAGCCGAGTGGTTAGCTCTGCGTACTGCCACTCGAAAAGCTCGGGGGAAAAAATTAGTGCGAATTGGGTACAGAGAATGCTCACGTCACTCGACAAGTAGCAACGGTTGGAGAGTTGCAGTTCCTGAAGCTTGGATTCGTCAGAATGATCACGACTCGAAATAAGAGACGATGAAGAGGAAAAAAGCAGAAAGGCCAAAAATAACATTCAAAGAGGGAAATTCGGCGCCGAAGATTATGATGATCTCTTTCTGGGATAATTGATTACATTCCAGGCGCGTGAGGCAGTCGCACTGCAGAGACGTGGCAAGTTTTACAGAAATTGACTATCCACTCTACAGTCCGAACTTGGCCCTCAGTGATTTGTTCTTAATTTTTTTTTTAATCTTAAGAAAGGGTCACGTTGAAAAAGAGATGGCCCTGTCATCGGTGGAAAACCGTTTTGAAGAGAAATCTAAAGAATATTTTTTTAGTGGTTATCACGATGTGAAAAACGAATTCCACTTGAGGGAGACTACTATATTGAATGATATATCGTAGTTTTGAACTGAAGCTGATGTTCCTACTAAATTTTGTATTTGATCAGACGTAGTTTGAAGGATTATGATAAGGAGATGAGGTGGAGCCAGCACAGCGTTTTCTTTTGAGTCGATCGTACAGATAATACTCTTACCGTCAAAGAGTGTACTCCACATTCATTTCTAGCAACATTTTTTTTTTCTGCTAAACAAAAATTTCGAATTTTTTACGATTTATTCTGAATACAAAACTATTTTAAAAAACTATTATTCCAACCATTTTTTCTACAGACAAATGGAGAAATTAACAAACAAATGTTGCGTCTAAAATTAGCATTGTCCTAACGTTTAAGCGATTTTAATTTTACGAAATTTTCAATTTTCAAAATAAAATCACATTAAATGATAAGCAAAATCCAGTAAAAATGCGTTGAAGTTGTGATTAAAATTTATTTTTGCGATTTAATTTAGCTAGCAACATATGCACATATGAGACATATGCGTGTGTGTGTGTGTGTGTGTGTGTGTGTGTGAGTACAAATGACATGCTAAAACATTTATCATAATATTTTTTTTCCAGCAAAATGCATAACTACATACATATCTACGCACATACTTATATGCTTACACTCAAACACAGTTGTGCCTCGCAGATGGCGATGTTCGGTGGGTGGCATCACTTGCAATCGTTGTTGCTATTGTTATGCACTCTCTGTATGGTGATAACTGTAGAATGCGAATAGTTGTGGCGAAACCAGACAGACGACACTTTCGCCCCCAACGTCGCTGACATTTTAAAAATAACTTCCCTAAAATACATATTTCTATGATTTTTTCTGTTCGTTTCTGACTGAAGTTGGCTGAAATCGTTGCTGCTCGTTGTTGTTGTTGTTTCTGTTTTTGTTTTGCTTTTGTACTTTTGTGGCGTTGGTGATTTTTGACAAATGGTTTTCAACATTTGACATGAATATTCAATGAGGAGTTTGTTGTATGCGCAGGCAAATGTAGATTAGGGATGTAACGGAGATGAGCTTAACGGGTTTGGATTTTAATTTGAAATTTATAAAATTTCTTATGTCTAAGAGGAAGTGGAAACTGCTTTAAATGCTCTGAACTTCCGGAATAAAACTCAAAATCATTGGAATTCGCATCCACAACGATCCAGGGGAAATCAGGTTTCGGAGAAAGCAACCTCCTTTAATAGGCGAACTCTTCTAATCCTGATACATAGTTCTTCTTCTTCTTCTTGTTCGGCCAGGCATCGGTTACGCGATTCTGGCAATTACTCATCTCACCTCAACTCATCTCATCTCATCTCATCTCATCTCATCTCATCTCATCTCATCTCATCTCATCTCATCTCATCTCATCTCATCTCATCTCATCTCATCTCATCTGCTATTGCATGTACTCATCTGTTCTCATCTCATCTCATTTCATCTGCTATTACATGTTCTCATCTGTTCTCATCTCATCTCATCTCATCTGCTATTACATGTTCTCATCTGTTCCCATCTGTACTCATCTCATATGGTATCACATGCACTCATCTGTTCTCATATCGCATTCTCATCGCTTCGCATTTGTATCGCGTCTCAACTCACCTGTTCTCATATCATTACAACTCACCAAATCTGCTGAGTTTTGACCTTTCGCTGCTGCAAATGAAGATCCTCTACAACCCTAGTGTGATTTTGTTTATATATACACGTATATGTATATATAATACCGTTGTTGTTAACATTCAAAACTTTCAACTGTCTGTTGGTGCTATCATCGTTGACATTGTTAGTTGCATTATTGTACGTTGTTGTTATGCCGAAAAATTGATTTGTTGGCATTAAGTTTTGTTTTAAAATATTGTCTGACAGGGCGTATGAGCGAAACTTGAACAGCCGGCAAACAGGATAAAGCCATCAGAGCATAGATGTGGCTCTGTGATGAAGCCGAAACGCGCCTCAGCAGGCGGAGGAGGTGCTTTCATACACTTTATGGCCATAGATCGTCCGAATCTCCCCGTAACTCCCCACCAAAACTGCCGACATCAAAAGGAGAATTAAAATTTCATTTCCAAAATGCAAAAATAAAATACATAGCACTCTCCCTTCACTCGGCTATTTATATTTATAAGCATAAATGTGCACATATTTCGCACGTTCAATGCTAGATTTTCGCAATTTCAATAAATCATCGGCACCAAATTTATGACAGCTACCATTCAGCTGTATATCATCGACAGGATACAGAAGGATAACAACTTTCTGATTGAATATTATTATTACTATTACTACTCGTATATTGTTTTTTTTTTTCACTCTACGCCGACAGAAACGACAATTTATGACAATTTAAACTTATTCATAAATTATTTGTAAATAAATACAACAAAATTAATTATGCACTTTCTCAGGGACAATTAATGGCAAGTCGCTTGGGAGGAGCGAGTGAAATTAAATAAAAAACAAAATAAAAAGATGTTTACGGTCTCACAAAAGCCTCAATTTTCGCCAACTTCGGTTTGCCGCGCAGCAAACGTGCCGTACGCACGGTGCTGGTGAAATTCGCCTCTATGCAAGCGGTGATGGGACGCCGAAAGCCTTTGCTGTTGCTGCCGCTTGGCGTTACGCTCGTACGTCGCCCTTCGGCTGCGCTGCGACATTTCGTTTGTTTCAAGTGTTCCTGCGGTACACGATCTACACGCATGCTGCTCGGTCGTTTGGCTAGATAATCGTTGATGTGCAGATTAGAGCCGTTGCTCAGATTCAAGTTGATTAGATGATCTTGTAGTTGTGCTTTCAGTTGGGCATTCTCTTCTTCGAGCGTTTTCTTCTGCCGCTTCATGCAGACCACATCAACGCGTGCATTGTTGACGCGTCGCCAAAAATTCTCCATCAACATCCAATTCACGAAGGCGTACTGTGTGGGAAAAAAGGGTGTGGAGAAAGGTTTAAAAATAGTTTCAGAAGAGCTTTGTAAAATAGACAGTGCCGTACTAGCCGACCACAGGAAACTAAAAGCTATCCCCTCTCAACTCGTATCTAACACCTCTTTCTTCGTCTTATCTAATCCTGAATGATATTTAACCATGGAGCAGATAGCTGTACCCTTCCTTCTTCCATCAGAGGTCTATGTTACTGACCTTGTTCCCTGCCCCTTGGTCTTAACTAATCTTATATCATCTATGAAATGGCTCAGCAATATTATTCTCAGTGATAACCATCGATCTTGAACCCTGCTGATCCGTTTATCTGTTCTCCCGAGTTATACAGCGTGCGACTTAATATGATGATAAGCCCCTCGGCAGAACCTTTTGTTCCTATTCAACTCATTACTGGCAACCAGGTACCTCTCGATGATTCCTTAGTGGTTACGTAGGTGGGAATAGATGCCAGACATACGTGTAGGTGCCCTTCAAACCTTTCTTTTTCATAAAACGTCGACCTCTACGACTGGGTGCCATACACCCTGATGTACAGAGCTGTTAGTTACGGTTGAAAGTGTCTCTACCCGAAATACCATTCTTTCAGTCTTTCCCTGGACAATCTTCTTTGATCCTGTATATTACTCTTGAACTTTAGATGGAGAGCTTAGCACAACTAAGAACATGTCTTTGAATGAAATCTTTGTCGAAGCCTGCACATAAGATTGAAGTAAAGAGTTTGTAAAGCAGGCGCGCACTTTCCAAAAATTATTTGAGTTGAATTTGAAAAATTTTGAATTGAAAATTTTAACTTACTTCTTCTAACTGCTCTCGTGGCTGCTCTGAATCCTTCAGCGCTTCCGCCAACTTCTTCTCTTCATTCTCCTGAGCCTTCGTTTCCTCTGCGAACATTTGCTTACTGAGCGGTGGCAAACCCAAAGGCAGCAACTGCTCTCTTTCAGTCTCGTGCTTACGACAGACGAGTGCTATTTGCAGTAATGTCTCTCCAGCGGCAGCGATGCTTTTAAGATGCTGTCGAAAAATAGGCATGAAATTTTATTAAAGTCAAAGTGCTTGCCTTAACACAAAACACAAACCTTCAGTATATTATAGCTCTCTACACTCATCAGTTTGAAACGTTCTTCGTCTGCTTTCAATTCGTTTTCAAAGTTCGCTTTAGACTCGGACATACGAAGCTGTAGATCATCTCTTAATTTTACGAAGTAAACAATCTTAACATCATTATTTTCCAGTGTATCGGTGTAGACGAGCTTGAGATGTGCCAGTTGATCTCCGGCGCGTTCGATATGGTGATAATGATCGCGTATGACTTTCGAGCTCTCCTCATCACGTTCTTTCAGATCCATATACTCCGCGTAGAAGCCCTCTGTGCGACGCATATAACCAGCGAGCACATCTTGATATTCCTGCCAGAGGCGTTCGAGCTTAGATTCACCACTTTTGGTGATATTTTCAATGTAGAGTTGCATCTGTATCGTATAGAGAGTGTGTAGCTGAGTTTGAGTGATGGCAATTAGTGTAAATATAATAGAATTTGGCAGACGAATCTAATAGTGACAGTAATAGTGCTTGACAGGTAAGCAATTTCGACAGCAGTGGAATAGATGATGAACGCTGAACGCTGTCATTTTAACGATCGCATGCGGCTTTGAGTGACAACCAACAACTAAAACTGGGTTTACATTTTATGTAACACTCACTCGCTGTGCTTTAAATAGCTGAGCCTTGTTAGTCATCAAGCTATAAGTGGTTTGATCATGTTGAAGCGTTCATCTGCCAGCCGGGCTGGCCATCTCGGCGTTACCCTGCTGCTTTTCTACTTCTCCACGTGTTGCTCTCTGAAGTGTCGCACCGAGGATGGTCCTTCCGAGTCGGAGTTGAAACGTATCACGCGCAGTTGCATGCGTAAGATCGGTGAGAGTTTGCGTCCGAGCAACGGTGGTTCACAAGGCTACTCCAATAACTACAATCACTATGGACCACTGCACCAATCGAATTTCGGCGGGCAATATGGTGGGAATTCACGTTATGATTATAATTATGACTACGACGATGATAATGATCAATATAATGGCAATGGAAATAGCAACAACTATAATAGCAACAACAACAATGGTAATAACAACAATGGCAATAACAACTATGATCGTGATCACGATCGTGGCAATCGCAATGTGCTGCAGCAACGAAATCGTGATCGTCAGCAAAATGGCAACTCGGATAACAGCAGATCATCATCTTCAAGCTCCTCGTCTTCGGGTAATAACCATGGTAATGGTGGGCGTTATGATAATAATAATGGCAAGAGTAATGGCGGTAACGGTGGCTCGGGTGGCGGTAGTGGTAATAATGGTGGCGGTGGGGGCAGTCGCAACACCGGCTCGGGTGGTAGTAGTGGCAGCGGTCAGCGAGGTCATACACAGAATCACTCAAATAACAATAACAACAACAATAATAGCAACAACAGTAATAACAACAACAGGAGTGCAAATAATGATACCGCAGATGCGTCTTGCGTGGTGCACTGCTTCTTCGAGGAGCTAAATATGGTGGGTTGAGTGAAAGACGTTCATTTTCTTTATACCAAACTTTATTATTTTTTCCCACTTAAGCTCAACTCCGACGACTATCCGGATCGCTATAAGGTTCAGTATGGTCTCACGCGTGATTTGCGCGATCGTGAGTTACGCAATTTCTACACCGACACCATACAGGATTGCTTCCATTACTTGGAGTCACAGCGCCGGAGGGATAAATGCCATTACTCACGTGATCTCATCAACTGCATGACGGAGTACGCGAAGGTGAATTGTGATGATTGGCAGGAGTTCAATATGGTTTTCAATTGAAGGGCAGGGAGGGAGGAGAAATACTTAAACATTTGTAAGCACCGCAAAGCTATAAAAAGAATTTAGCAAATCGAAATTTGTTCTTAAATTTTTGGAACTGAAGAAAGGTAACGCATACGAGAGGTAAGTATTGCTAACCGGTATACAACTTGAGAACACAGTCTCTGTGAAACAACTGCACAAGGTTCGTCCCCGGTACGTGGTTATTTTGCGGAATCGTTCCGTGAGATTCATATGATCGATGAGAATTGAGCTTTGTTCTAACGATCCCATAAAAGAAGTTAATAAGTTCCAATTTCGACGCAAATTATGCTCAACTCTCGTCCTTAACGACCCCGACATAGTCCGAGGACTTGGATATTAAAAATGAAAGGCTTGGAAAAACATTTTCATTTAGTTCATAAAAGTAGTCTTTCAACCTTCCAATTGGACTTAGAAGAAATTTGTAAGGAAAGCCTTCTCGTATGCGTGGTAATCTTAAAGGGTGAGAAAATACGTTTATTTCCGTCTTCCATTGGCTTGTTTGTTCACGTTACCTGGCCAAAAAGTGAGGTCTCAGTTTAGACACCATTATGTAATTTATTCTAGATTTTCATCGAATGGGTCTGAGGTGAAAGTAAAAAGATGATTAATCTTTCTTCTCAAGCAAGTCCTGTAAAGATTGATGGACCCAATATAATTCAAAAGCAATAACAGCTCAAGTTCTCTTTCGATGAACAAAGACCAAACACTACAAGGCCCATGACATTATTTACTTTTTACTGGCGTAGACATCGCTTACGCGATAACAGCCGAGTTGATAATTCGTTTCTTCTTTTTTGCTTTTCGGCTCCAATTGGAAATACCAAGAGCAGGTCCTTCTCTAACTGATCTTTTCAACGGAGTGGAGGTCTTCTCCATCCTCTGCATGCACCAGCGGATACTGCATCGAAAACTTTCAAAGCTAGAGTATTCGCATCCAATCGGACCAAATTCCTGTCCTGATGTATGGAGGGTGAGAACATCCGATAAGCTGCGCAAGAAGTTTTCGCACTGGCAATACCAAATAGCATAGCTGATGGGCTCTCTGAGATATGTGGCGACATTGATTCAGTTTAGCAAATCAAGATGCAGTGGTTACGTGGAGAGATTACGTAAAACCCCAGGTTTCTCTCCACTCAAATACGTATATATTACTTGGCTACCCTCTGCTGTCTGTGTTATCTATGTATCTGGTAGGGTCGACCTTTCATTCTACTTAAAACCAACCAGCCTCAATACAGAGTTTGGCTTTCCCTTCTTTTCTTATTTCCACCAATAAGAATACTCTTTGTGATTTATAAGCCTTGTAACTTCGAGATGGAGTCGGCTAATTTCGATTTCTATTGCCTTCTCTCTTCCCTATAAGCTTTCTAATGACGAAACAGGGATTCGGCCCTCCTCTCAATTTTATTTTACTCTCTCTGTTCTCTTTTAGATTTGTAACTTCAATATAGAGCCGATCTTTTCCCCATTCTCCATACCTATTGTATTTCCTGTTCTCTATTAGTCTTGTAGACAGGAGACAATCGTTCGAATTTCCTCTCAGTCTCCACTCCCATTGCATTCTTTGTTCTTTGTTAGCTTCAGAGCTTCGAGGCAGAAATGGGTTTCGCCTCGCTTCGAGTTCTTATCGTTCTCGTGAACATACTGTGCTTTATTTTCTGCACTGCATTTCTGAGTGGTGACGAAGCTAGCCTTAACAGCTCTTTCCTGCCACGTTTCCCAGAGCTTGCAACATTTTTCATTTCTCAGAGAGATATTAAGATGAAGACGGACACTACCGTTGCGTGATCAAAAGACCGTTGTAAGTTTTCACGACTTGGATAGATCAGCGATTTACTGTAATTAGTTTTTGGTTACCACACAATGCCGCTCAAACCGTCACGGTAAACTGATTAGAGTATTATACATAAAGCGCCACGTAACAATTGCTTTCTCATCTTCCTTCTCGCTTAAAGGCTTCCACTTTGTGTATGGACTTCTCTTGTCTGATGGACTAAGAATATCATCGTGAAAAAGACGAAACTTTGTTCCTTCAAAACCTGAGCTAGAGGAAGTAACTCATGACTATCCAAAGAAATCTCAGAAACTTCGTGAGCTCTCCTTTAGAGCGCTAACTTTAGGTAATTTATTGACTTTTGTAGTAGAATTTTTAAATAAATCTATTAAGAAAGGTTAATGAAACTTAAGGCTAAAGTCTTAAGCACTTTGAGGCTAAGATTGGTTCGAAAAGTCTCATAGAAAAATTTCCTAAAGGTTATCAACGTTTTGCATAACATAACTAACTATCTCAAATAATAGTCTTTTACTAAAAAGATGGTTGCCTTGAGGGCTTTTAAGCTTCGCTTTATGGAATAAAACAGTAATTCACATATAGATCCGACATTTCCGGCCCTGATGAGTACGCGTAATATATCTAAAGCCATTAGTTCTATTCATACCTCACTCTTCATATCATCCAATTGCTGTAAATGGCGCTCCTCTCTCTCATTGGCGCGCTTATCGCTCTCATCTTCCAATTGACACTTAACACATTCCAACTCTTCTAAGGCGTTCTGACGTTTTTGTTGAAAATCTGCATAATCCTGTGCGTATTCTTCCAAGACTGTAGTCTTATTTTTCTCATAAGTATCTTTAAAAAATTGCATGCGCTGCTGTTGGAGGCCTGGAAGTTAATAGATTTTTATAGAATAATAAAAAAAAATTTAAAAAAAATATTTCCAATAATATTTAAACTGTTATTAAAATACCGATAATTTATATATTTTTATTAAATTTACTTATTGACTTTAAGTATATAGTTATATATTAGGCCAAGTAAAAAGTTCGTTCGGTTTTTCTTGGTGATTTTTTAAAATATGATAACTTTTTGTACATTTGTCCGATTCAAGTCAAATATGCGCCGTTTTGTTTGTAAACTTGTTGTCAATGAGATGCCAACTTCATTATACCCCTTTCGCAGGAGACCGCGTCCGTATTCGCAAAAAACTCGTAGAGCCAATTTTCACAGGCCTCTCTTGAGGCGAACTCCCCACCATTAGGCGCGTTCGTCATGTACAGGAAAAGGTAGTAACCACTCGGTGTCAGGTCCGGAATATAAGGTGGGTGTATCAGGACCTGCCATCCGAGCTCCAGGAGCTTCTGGCGCGTCACCAAAGGCGTGTGTGGCCTGGCGTTGTCCTGATGGAACACAATTCGGTCTCTGTTGATCAAGGATTTCCTCTTCTGGATGAGTGCTGCCTTCAAGCGGTCCAGTTGTTGACAGCAGAGGGCTGAATTTCGCGTTTGGCCAAATCTCACCAAACACAAGGTAAAACCTGGTGCATCTTTGACACCGAAATTAAGGGAACGGAACCTAGCAAACCACTTTTGTGCTTCACGTTCGATATAGCGAATTTTCTCTTTGCTGGTGTCCATCTTTGACGACCGCTCGCAACCTACTGAGTCAATCAATCGAAAAACTGTCAAAAACAAACTTTTAGCGCGAATAAACACGTTTTCAGCGCCGTTTAGTATGATATGATGCGATACGTAAAACCGTACGAACTTTTTACTTAGCCTATTATTACCCACCAATCATCTTATTCACAATTTCCATATGCGACTGATGCAGCGTGGAGTACATATCCTCCGCAATGTCGATATCGTTGAGTAGCCGCTTGATAATACGATATTTGCGATCGAGACGCTCTTGAAAGAACTTCTGCAGCTCCTCCATTTCCTTGCGCAGCTCCTGCACCTTCACTTGCCGTAGGATGGAACGCCATTCCTGATTGATTTTCGCCATATTGAGGCGGCAGAAGGCCTCCTCGCGCTTGAGCTTATTCTGTTTGGCAAATAAAACGAAAATAAAATGTTTTCAATAAAATTTTGTAATAAAAAACATAAATGTGTTTGGCTCATTGACCTTCATGAAAAGTGATATCAATTGCACTTTTCGCCGTCGCGCCTCCTCCTCTATGTCCGCACGCATTTGCATGTAACGCGCGCGCTCTTCCTCGGACATTTTAGCCAATTTGTTTGCCTTCCCTTTTTTACCCATTTTTCCACGTCTATTTAGTTAATTATAAAATAAATTTCACTAATATTTTTCACACTTTTCGTTGTAAAATTGTGAAAATTTTTAGAACTGCAGAAGCGTTGTTACCCAGGCCCAAGCTCGGGTTGTTATGTGGTTGTTGGGCAGAATATTTATGGCTTTACTGTCTGCTGCGTATGTTGTTAGGCTGATGTTTGTTGATTTTGGCGGCGCTAGGATACCACAATGCTATGACACCTCACTGTGTTACTACCTTGATTATAGATGTGAGGACGTGTGCGGCTTACAGTGGGAAATTGTAAATAAACTTGTGGCCGAGAGACGGTTTACTTCAAGAGCATACCGTAAAGGTCACTCGTTCAATATGAGCAACCTACTTACTTGGCTCTTGTAGGTTCCAGAGAGGTGATCTTGTGACGGATGCCTAGAATTTATGGAGAAAACGTTTTTTCAACCTATTGAATGACTGTGAAAATGGATCACCAGGATATGCGGTTCCGGGTTTCCAATCGATGATGATTACACATAGATTTCATTGCCCCAACTATGAAGAAGTTTGTATAGCAATCGCGCGCTTGGATAGCTGGCCAAATTATAGAAAAAATTAAAATTAGTTGGGCCAGGACTTGAACCCTGGATTTCCAATTGGCAGTACGTACGGCTAATAGCGAATAAAGGCACAACGAATATCCTTTCATCAAGTAAACAGTCATCGCATTCGCGACTTGACTTTCACGTCACTGTTGACAGTCATAACTTCGTAGTCGTAGATAATTTCGTCCATCATGGAACCAGCATCAACATCAATACTAACGTCAGCCTTGAAATCCAACACAGAACTACTCTTGCCAACAGATGCTACTTTGGACTGAGTAGGCAACTAAAGTCCTCTCTCGGCGAAAACTAAACTTTACAGGTCGCTTATCATACCCGTCCCACTATATGGCGCAGAGCCATGAACGATGTCAAAATCTGCGTAAGATTTATGGTCCTCTACGAGTTGGGAACGGCGTGCACCGCGGCTGATGGAATAATGAGCTGTAGGACGACATTGATTTAGTTCAGCGAATCAAAAAGCAGCGGCTACGTCTGGCTAGGTCATGTGGTTCGGATGGATAAGAATATTCTAGCTTTAAAAGTTTTCGATGCAGTATCCGCTGCTGACAGCAGAGGAAGAGAAAGAGGATCCACTCTGTTGGAAGAATCAGGTGGAATTCGACCTCTCTCTCTCTCCCTAGGGGTGCCCGCAATTAGAAAAACTAAATTTCTATAATTTTGGATATTGGCTGAACCAGGACTCCAACCCTGGCCTCCCGAATGGTAGTGTCATTGTTAAAAAGACTGTCACAATCATCTGACTTGTTAGCGTCTTCAGACCTTAGGTAGAGCTTTGGAGCCTAAACTACAAGTTAGTAGGATTTAACTCTTTTTTACTGTGGCGTAGCGTGAAACCCATTAAAGTTGCCGACACTAAGTAGAAGAGAAGTTGGTATTGTTGCCGGTTATTGATGAAGCATCTATCCCGAGGTTTCGTTTCCAATAATTAGATAAGCTGGAATTGACTAAGGGCAAAGTAAGCACACGTAGAAGGCGAAGTAACCCTAGTAGTATTTCACGTCTGCAAATGCCGGAAGTTCAGTGAATTGAGGCTCAAATCTATTAAGATGGCTCAAGCCTCAGCTTTATGGTGATAGGTAAGCATTGATGGAAAAAATAATATTTCAGCGTATCGAACAAATTCTATCAAGAGAGCGTGAGTTCAGAATGCTCAAGGAAGCACGAAGGGCATTTTTAATTCTCTTAGTTCTGGCGGCTCGGGATCAGGTGCATAATATCTTTTTACGGCAAACTAAATGACAACACAACGCTTATTCGCCTGAGGAAAGTTCTTCAAAACCACGAATATTTTAAGCTGCGCTGCCACCTGGGTGTCATGTGAGCTCGTAATTTATTCGACTGCCGCATAACCTCTTAAGTTGGTGTTGGAGTGACTGCGGTCATCCTTTCGTTGTAAGATGTAGATAGTAAGCTCTGCCAGAGGTGTCGTCCTTGGAATCAGCTGACACTTTCAGAGTCTTCTAGAAAAGTACACATATAAAGCTTCTTGATGCCAATACTTCGTGCCCTTGATGTTTCGCGAAATATCAAGTTACAAGAATCTTTGCATTGATCGAGAGCGCATACTCTAGGAAACGTAGTATGGCGCGTCTCATGCTGGCTTACTTTCGAATCAACTCTACATGCCTTAGAAACTTCGGAGGCTTCAAAAACTTTGATAAAACCAAGAGGTATTCTCATCGGGAATGGGTAGAAAAGCAGAAGATCAGCTTAAAGTGAGCTCATCTGAAGCATATTTGAGGAAAGACGGTGATATGACAAACATCCTCAAACTAGCCTCGAAGTGGTCAAGTTATTCCGCCAACGAAGTCATGTGCATACGTTAGCCGCATATCCTCGCTTTGCCACCTCTCGAGACGTACATACTTGGGAACAGTTTTTTACATTTCTTATTTTTATTTTTTGCAACTGACTTAGGAGCAGATCTCAACCAACACTTTGAGTAATGAGTCTGATGCGTATTTTCTTTGATTGAGTTGCCAGTGTGTTGTTGTTGCAAGCACCATATATTATCGCCCGATTGCATTGTATAAAACAAATTGCCAATTGTCAGCGTAATCGGTGCGGATTTGCACATGAAGTGCAATTGCCAAGGTTGCATTCGTAGGTGTGTAGAGAGCGCGGCAAAGCAGCAGAAGTCTGTTTGTTGAAAATTGCATTTCTGTGGCGGCAGCGCAGCATATGAAGCCATCAAAATAAATTTACACATATGTATATGTATATGTGTGTATACACTCATACATAAAAAAAAAGAAAACATGGGGCTTTTCTTTCAGGAAATTGAAAAACCGACAACATTTTGTTATTTTGCACGCAGCTGTTGTGTAAGCTGAAGCAAGCAAAGCGATACAAGTGCGGCAACAACAAAATCTCAAAGCGTTGAACTTCGCTTTAACACACTTCTCGAGGGCGCTACGCATCATCCGTACTTACATACATTTACCTACATATATGTACACACATACATATGCGCATACAAATGAGTGTGTGCTGTGTAGTGTTGCCACTATTTTGTTTTATTTTGCATTTTTTGCCTCGCCTCCTTCACATATTTTTCATGTCGCCTCGTCAGCTCGTGCGAGCAGATGAAAAATATGGGTTGACGCTGCCGTAGACGCTGATAGATGTGCGGGCCATCACGGCGAGGCAAAGCAGTTAGAAGACGCTGTACGAAAGCAAAAACAAAAAGCACGGAAAATAAATAGAGAAATAAAGAAACGTTGAGACGCGACGAGACGACAGACGGCAACAGACGGCAAATTGCCTCCGGCTGCTTGAATGGCGCTGCTTGACTGGTTGGTTGCTTGTAGTTGCTACAATTTTCTTTTTGTCAGCTGTTGTAGTTGCTCTTGTTGTTGCTGTTGTGACTGTCAAATGCTTTGCCATCAAGATGGTTGTCATTTTTCAATGCAACACTTTGCGTGTGCGACGCCTCCAACTGCGGCTTGGCGCTGCGGCGTGTGTTTCCTACACGCGTACACACATACATATGTGCATTCTCAGATGTGTAAGTCTGTGCGTGGGAGTTACATTGACTCGTGCAGCGTTTGCATATTTATAGCGCTGTGTATTTCTGTTTGCTTTGTTGTTGTTTATAAATGCTGTTCTGTTTTTTTTTTTTTTGACATTTTTTTTGCTCTTTTTTCCAATGTTGAAGTAAATTGAATGCGATTTTTTTCGCTATCACTTCAGCGAGGACGTCGCCGACGTAAGAAAACAGAGAATACTTGCAAAGCTTCTGCTGCGTGTTGTTGCTTTGTGTGTTCGTGTGTGCCAAATGTGCCGCTATCTTGTGCTCATGTGGGTGACAGCAGTCATAAGTGCGCGAAAATTACACCAATTCTTTTTTGGATTTTTTCTTACCTATTGTTGGTATCTTTTTGTTTTCTCTCTATCTTGTATTTATTTTTCCCTCTTCTTTTTTTTTTTTTTTTGCTTCAATTATATTCATTTCTGCTGCCAATGTCAATTCACGCCCGCTTTTGTGATTTTTTTCTTACTTTTTGCTGTTCATTTTTCTTATTTTATCAACATCTTCTCACACATTTTTTTTTTTAGCTTTCTTTCCTTCTTTGTTGGAAAATCTAATTTTGGTATTGGCAATGATGGGTCGCATGTGGGTCTCATCACTCACACATATGTTTGCTTGTATTGTACTGCTGACGCATTTTGTGTATAGTCTAAAAGGAAAATGTAGCATACCCACAGGCGACTTGACGACCGACTGGATAAAAGTCTCTTGATGCTGCCATAATCTAAGGCAATTTAGTTGATTTGATTTGTGTTTGAGGATAATGTGGCCAACACTAATGCGCACGCAGACATATACACATGTACATATATAGGCATTAAAATATGAATGTGCGTTTGATGACTTATGTAGGTGCTTACTTAAGTGCTTCTTCAAATATCCTCATGGTGTACGGATCAAGAATGTTATTTGGCAAAACGTCTGCTCTTGATTTTTGTCAGATTTTGGCATAAGCTAACTAAATGTACCGTTATGTTAGCTGTTGTGCAAGCGATGTGTACAAAGAGTGAAATTGGCATGTACAGAAAGAAGTTTTTTGTTGAGCCCCATTGTAGGCAACATTTGCTTGTACTCATTTTCTTGCTGTAAAATTTTGAAGGGAAATTTTCAATCTTTGTGGGTTTTGCCATATTTGAGTCGGTTTATATGTTTGGTCTCGATGTATACAATAAGTGTTGTTTGAAATTGCAAAAAATGTGATTAAATTTTTTTATTTAGCCTAATTATAGGCAACATTTTCACACTCACAAATTGTATGTAGAAATCAGCAATTTTTTTTTAAATTCCAATATTATTCAGCTCTCTTTGGTTTTAGAAACACCCCCTATTTATTTCAAAACCACTTTTAAATATT